TCGAGTGACAGACTCCAGACGCAACTCAGCAGTTCTACCAGCAGCAAATCCTTGTATTCGGCTGGTTCGATTACTTGATCCAATATCTGAATCGCACGGTTGAATCCATTACCCAGTCTGTGGAGATCCGTGACCGATTCCTTGGCAATTGAAGGTAGTTTGACAAGCGCTTGTACCTGTTTCCTCTTCAGTAGCTTGCTGTTGTTGAAGCGTTTTAGCAACGACTTCCAAACTAAAACGCTTCAACAACAGCAAGCTACTGAAGAGGAAACAGGTACAAGCGCTTGTGAAATTTTTTATAATTGACGCTAGTTATCTCTAGCGGGTCGACTAGAGCCTTAGCTTTGCCTGCTAAGGTTGCTACCTTTCAAATAGTGAAATTTCTCCACATCCGGAAGTTCTGCTTTCTCATGGATCAAGAACGTGTAGTGATCCCTGAAACTCAGCCAGTCATCGATGTCTCCGTCGAAAGTATGCAGCTTGATTTGTGGCAGGCGTACACGGTCCATTGTACCATGTGTACTGGCGGCGTCCGCACTCCGTGTTGACTGGTTTAGTGCTGATTCTTCCTGGAACTTCTTGGCCTTCTCCATCAAGAACGATTTCGCATCGTAGTAGCGATTCTCGAACTCCAGTTGCTCCTTTTCGACACCTTCTTGCTCTTCATAGTCCTCATGCGATTCGATCTCCCAAGAAGTCTCACTAATTTGCTCCCACAACAAATCTATACGTTCGAGGCGGACATTGACCTGACAAGCTGTTGTACCCTCTTTATAATACCTAACTAACTGACTAATGTTGTTTAACGACGCTCGAAGATCCTTGAGTTTTGACTTAAACCCCTTTACGGATGCGGTTGACCTGGTAATCTTCGTTGACATGGTTGTTGTCGGAGGAATCACGGTACGGAAACGAAGAACCAAGAGCCAGTCGTAAGTTGGTAGGTATTAGTGATGCGTTGCTCCACGCGATGTTTGGCGAAACGTTATAAGATCCGAGAATCGAAGAGAATTGGCGATTTAGTGTGCAAATTGTCTGCTTCGGCTGGACATATACTGTTCAACTCACCTGTGGGGCTACCGAAGCCAGATAGCAGTAAATTCCAAAACTGTATACCTCAAAACGTTTGATCGGGAATCTCGGATTCCAATTCGAGCCAGTGAAGAGCGATGGAGTGGAAAAGCAAATGTAGTAACCAATATTTGAGCTTCGGCTGAACATATACCGTTCGTCTTACCCGTGCAAATGGCACTCTATACCAATAGCCGAATCCAAATTTGCCTCAATCACAATAATTAATGTTTCGAACCATGAAGCTGTAAAGCTTTGCGGTAACAAGTCGGTAGATCGTATCGAAATCCAGTGCAGTGAAGGAGAAATGTACCAATGTAGTATTGCAAGAGAGCCTGCTTTGGCAGGACATATACTTATTCTCACCTGGAGAACTACATATGGCGCTGGACGTCGCGCAGAATGAAATATCAGCAGCCAATCCAGCTTCGGCTGGTAGTTACCTGGACAAGATGAAGCTGAAATCTATCACGTTGTTGCTGTCTCGTCTAGTCAGAGGGAAAGTAGCACCAGAATCGTCGTCGAGCGTCCACAATCGCCACCGAATTCCTCGAAAGTTGCCCGAAACCAAGTTCTTCGCGAACTGATGCACCACTTCGACGTCCGTAAGCACTCGTCGATTCGGCAACAATATCACAAGTCGAAATGTGGGTGTTAGTTGGGAAATTTTGTCGCTTCGGCGGACATATACCAGTTCTTACATACCTGAGTGGTAGTAGAACAACGCTATGGTTGTCCTACAATCCTGATCAACGTCGAAAGTGACCGAGTAGAGCCAATATCCACTTGTAGAAACTGGTTGCACTAGCTGGAGACGATTCTGTTGAAGGACGATGGCGACCTTCCTCTCTGTTCCACAGCTAGTCGATGATTTTCAGCGATGGTGGGTTTCCCGATGTAGAATAATAGGTGATATTGTTTGGTTGCAATAGATCCTTTCATGTAATTGACGATGGCGATCGAATCCTTTGATCCACTTCAAGGATGGCGATTGGTCCTTTATGGTATACGAGGCTGGCGGTTTGGTGCCCGTACGATGGCACACTTCGATGGTACCTTGGTCGAATCGTAGAGATTTGGCCGATCCAAAGTCCACTGGCAGTAGTAATCCGGCTCGAAGGACCAAATTATGTCAGGGACCGTCCCGACCAATTGATGTTGACTTCTACTTACCCGGCGAACGTACCCTTTCCTTTATTCCTTATAGAATCCGTATCCTTTCCTTCCTTCACCGCAAACAGAACACTACACCAATTTTCACACAAAATACAATTTATTGTGAGAACACAAATTTATTTAACTTAAATTAAACAATAATTTCGTACGGGGTGCGCCCTCGGCCGACCGATCGCGACGATGTACTTTTGTGACTAACTAATTTCCTATATTAGCATTTATATCTTTTAATCCTAAATCCAGTCAGTGCGTTTTCAATTGGCTGCATCCGCTGTTTTTCTTTTTGGACTTCCTTGAAGATATCGGAAAATTTCTGAAGTTTCCGGAAAATCTCTGACTTTCTCAGAACTTTTGTAAAGTTCATTGAACTGTTCTGAAGTTCTTTGGACTTCTCTGATGTTCTCGAAACTGCCACGAGCTTATCGCAATTCTTCTTAAAATCTTTCTTCTTCTTCTGCCTCGCATTTCTGCTTATTGATTAACGCATATTAGGTTATTGCGTGCTCTCAAATTAGTGTTCTAGATGCAGTTACACCGTTTCTATTTGAGAGCTTTCGCTGCCTGTACCATTTTTGCGTTAGTAAAATTGTGTGGTAAGTACAATCATACTCTATTCCCAGGAAAGTCGAGAAATTTTCCAATCCGAAAAATTCCTAGACCGGACCAGGAATCGAACCCAGCCACCTTCAACATGGTCTTGCTTTGTAACTGCGCCTTTACTGACAGAGCTAAGGGAGCCTCCCAAGGTCAGAAAAGGCCTTGCATTTTTTTTAAGTTACTTTATTTAACTGTTGAGGTAACTCACCATTTTGTAGTCGAGAGCGCCGAATGAAAATTTTCCAATATTTACAACCTTCGTATCTCGTTTTCAGATCCCACGACTAATGTCAATTAGATTTAGATCAAACAGAAGTCGTGATTTTGACATAAATTGGATCGATAGGAATCTGCTTTGCTATACAGCGATAAGAATTAACAAATAGAAGCATAATGACATAATTTGGAGATTAGGCACGTTAAAGTTTAATCAATCACCATTGCTCAACCTCAAGATAAAAAATTTGATTCATCATGCAAATATCCATACAATGTAATGATTGAAACTGATAGGGCTTTTATGAGAATCATGAATTGCAAAGTGCGTCTAACAGGTTATCATTTTCCCACAATTGTTCCATTAGCAATTACGACGAACGGTGAGATATTTGCGGCAGCCAATTTTTCCATTGCAAACCAACCATGAGCAGATCAAGTGTCGGTCAAGATCAGCTGATCCGCAGTAATTTGTTATTCTAATCAATTCCGGTGAACATTTGCCCTAACGGGGGATTCTCTCGTTCAGCACGTAATCCTAAATCGGTTTGTAATTCACCGTCGTCGGCCGTCGCCGAGCAATCCGGATCTAGCAAGTTGCGCAACAAGATCGATTTCATCTCTCATGTATTCGGGAGCAAAAACAAAACGATGATGTGGTCGAATGTGAATAATCGATGATACTTGTGAACTGACATTCTTGGAATATCATGTGCTCAAATGAGCACTCATCAGCTAAGCTTTAACCTCATACAAATTAGTACCTTCAGCATTCGGCACCCGCCTATCATTAGGGAATCACGTATAAGATGATTTGATTAGAGGGCTTGATCTGACACTGCAAGCGACTAGCTATGAAACCAGCGGGGGTGATAAACTGTGGCAGCCGTGAGTGTTTGTCATTACTGCATCAGATAGTAAAAATACGTTTAGAGTGGTATCGTTGATGACTCCAATTTTGTTGTGTAACTTCTGGGGAAAACGACCACACACTGGTGCTTCTTGCAGATAGATGCAGTTGAAAGGGTTCGCGGGTGCCCTTCCTCGCTCAAACTCTTTCCCATGGGGTTAGCTCTAATTCATAATCACCTTCGCCGTTTGAAACTGAAGCTAACGATCGAATATTTCCGCTTCAAAGTAAATCATGAAAATTCATATGCCCGTCATTCCGTTGGATTGCCATATCCGGTCAAGTGGAAAATGAACATTGAAACCGTTTCAAAGGCACTGATTTGCAGCATAACTAGATGGGCGTGTGTGTGAGCAGGAACTGCCAGTGGAAATTCATCAATAAGCCCATAAGTACTCACTGAAAGCTAAAGGAAACTGCCATCCACAAATAGTCGTTTGATTTGTCAACTTTGAAACCAGATACCATTGCATAACACGTCAAGTCCGATCAAATCCGATGAAATCTTCTCAAAAAGGTAAACTGGCTGCTCTTGAAATGTTTGCCGTTTGCTGAACCTGCACTCGGTACCGGCGGCGACGATGATTCAATCCGTGCATGGAAGCGTGTAACGTGCACATGTTAATGACATTTTCTAACCGATCCACCGAGTAAGCTAGCGCTCAGCGGTTCGAGATGTTTACCCGGTGCAAACGAAGGCTGGGTCGGCATTTCCTTGGCTCCGAAACCACCTCGCCTACAATCAGCTGATTCTGCTTCTTCAGCAATCCGGAGACTATCGGATGACCATGGCCAGAAGTTCGGAAGATTCAGCCTTAACCGCAGCTTCAGTGGGTTTAATTGTTGTTCAATCAACCGTAGAGGGTCACTCGCTGGCGTTGCTACTGCTGCTGCTGCTGCTGTTGCTGCGGCGTTGTTCTGTTCTAGTTGTTCCATGTCTGTCATTAGTTTCTTCGTTGTGTCATTGAATGGGAAAATGTCCAATGTGTTGCAATTGATTAACGTTTTTGTTTTGTTTCTCCTCTTTCAGCTCTACCCTACATCAAGCAGTGTCGGAGATCGGATCCGGAACTGATTGCCTGCCTGAAAGGAACGCTGCACCATCTGAAACCTTATCTGGCACAGGGTATCCCTGAAATTAAAGTGAGTATTGCGGCTTTGTTAATAGAGCCCTGAATAGATCATCTATTGTATGCGCATGGAGACATAGGACATAAATACACTCTCGTTGAATTACATTTTGAGATTGAAACAGTCATGGAAGCCCGTAGCAAATACATTTCTAGAAGGGATTTTCCCTAATTTTAAGAAACATGGACTAAGTTCAAATATTCACAGTCACATATGAATAAACTGCAGTCAGCTCTCCATAACTCGATGTTGAAGGGACCATCGAGGTATTGAATTTGATCCGGTGCAGCCGCATCGGGAATCGCATTTGGCAGCACTTTGTAAATGCATCCACCTACTCTTCGCTCAAGCACCCAGTCTTAAGCAGGAGGACCGTTTTCGTCGCATTCTCAACTTAACCGCTTCGTCCCGTTTCTGACCTTGGCCAGCTCGAAGCGTGCATCCGTGTTGTCCCGGTCGGGTAGTTAGTATCGTTACAGCGGTTGCAGATTTAAAATGCCATCAGATGCGTATCGATGATGTCTTTGCCGTGCTCATTGTCCAGTGGGCAGAGAAATTTGATCACGTTCTTGAGAGGATCCCCCGGTTTGACCAGTTCGTCCGCTATCAGCTTATCCTGCTGGGGTGCCTCTGAAACATCGTCTTGGTTAGGATGGTTCGAATTTGGGATAGGATTTCACTGCTTGTTGTTTTGTTTCTTCAAAACAAAACATTTGAATTGTCAAATTAATCGGAGGCCAAGCAAATAAATTCAGTATCATGACTGACACTCTCGGCACTACCAGCACAGTGAATCACGCTGAGAAAAAACTTGCGCAAAATAAGAGTATTGAGTGTCCATCCCTTAACAAGCGATTAAGAATATTGCGAAGCATTTTCGGCAGCAATATCTGCAACAGGAAGTAGTTGATGACCACACACCTCTTGCCTCGTCTTCCGCAGCGATACTAGATAAAAGGATACTTAGAAATGTGCAAACTTAAAAAAGTTTGTTTACTAAAACACAAATATTCCCGGCTGTAATGAAGCTATATGAATTATTTGACCGCCAAATTAAAGGTGTACATTCTGGCTATCACGATGAAATTGTTTCCATCCGTGAGGTCTTCACTGTTTTGGAAACTACTGCTCAAACCTTACTTACTACAATGCAACTTATGAAGCGTCACATCGAAGCGTTGGAGACACGAGATTACTTGGGTCAATCGTTTATTTTAGCAGCAGAAGAAACAGCCTTTTCGGAATCATTGGCAAGTCAAGTATCAGAACAGGAAGATATTGATCAGTTTTTGATGTTCCTTTTCATTGTTTTTCTATGCAAATATGAATTACAGTTGTTCGGATAATGTTCAATACTGTTAAATAAAATATACTGTGGATTTTATTCGTTTATATTCTTGAAATTCACGACAATTTAGAAAATTATACGATTCTTCTCTGAATTCTCTTCAGAACCAAGATTAGTTAGGCAATCCTCCAATTCAACCATAGGATCAAATCGTCTTCCTCTGATGTATTCTCATTTCTGAAACAATTTTGTCATGGGGTATTTTTAATATTGCTCCATAATATCTGCTACGAGCAACTACAGATCCCGTTGATTGCATTATCGGTAAATTTGCTTTAAATTCCGCTTAAATAATCAGTCCAAACACTATCTCCATCGGGTTGTAGATAGGACAGTAGGCCGCAAGAAAAATTGGTATAATCCCAAGGGACCACAGGAAGTAAATTATCATGGCGTTACAATTTTGGCAGCCGTTTCGGCCAATAAAGCACAAGAGACAGGGACAGTTCTTGGATTTCGAACAAATTCTCCCCGGTAGATAAGCTTTTGCTAGGTTATCAAAGCTGACCTCATAAATAAATCTGAGGTTATGGTAGTCTATGCATTTCGTCACAGAACCGCATGATGCCATCCGACCGAATCTGAATTGCTCTTCTTTCGAGGGCTTTTCATGACAATCCTTCATGACGTAAAATGCGGCAGATCGAGGAAGCGGATATGGAACTGTTGAAGGTTTTTTCAAACATAGGTTTCGCTCAAGGAGCAAGACAGCACCTAATCACGAGTAATTAAAGAGTTGCTTTTGAGGCACCTCGAGTAACTCACATTGCTCTGTGAGCAAGATCACTGCCATTTGCTTTCTCACTTTTCGCATCACAGCAACATTTGAAAGTCCACCTTCAGGCGAAGCCAACACAAAACAACAATAACTCAGCAGCGAAACTCGGAGACCCTTAAATTAATTCTCGATGAACATTTCAAATGGTCCTATCTGCTTTGATCGATTCTCTTCATCGACTTTCTCTTGTGATGACCACTGTTATGCAAACAGATTTCACATTAATTTTACCACATAGTTTGATAAAGGAGGTTCTTATCTAGCGTCCAAAACGTCAAATACAAAAGGGAAAGGTTTTGCAACTGAGTTATTAATGAAAGAGAAAGTCGATGAAGAGATTCGATCAATGCATATAGGACCCTTTGAAATGTTTATCTAGAATTGATTTGATTATCCTGCATCATCTCAGTTTAATAACCTTAGAGATGAACTAGCCTAAGGCTAAAAATCTCTTAAATAAAGAATAAAAAAAAAAAAAAAAAAGTTTAATAACCTTCTTTCAACCCTTACCAACTGTGAACGTGAACGGAAACTGTTGCAGCCTTACGCTTATCAAGGTCGAATGCTTTTTCGTCTTGATATAGTGGAAAAACTCGATCTGCCTGACCAAATAAACAAAATCTGGAAAATTACGTACCCCGCACGTACTACGATACCCGTCGAAGTAATCCCGTTCCCATTGCTTGACAAACTGCCGCTGGATGAAACTGCAAACCGAGCTCCGAATTAACACGGTGCCGTTCTGTTGACGGTGGACATCCATCCTTCCGCTTTAGATGTTTCTGCTGTGCCTTCCGAATCATCGTGATAAGGTCACGTTTCTGCGATACACCACCAAGTGCTGTGGCCGTCGACGGAAGTCTCCTTTGAAGTAGAACATAACTACATACGTGTGTTCTTCTGTTTCTCGTTGGCTAAGTCCATAGCGACCCAGGTGTAGAATTTGTTGTTCGTCTCCATTTGTTTTATGGTCAGCTCTGTCTGACGATATCGAGTGATTGGTAGCGAACTTGTGAACTTGATCACGTCTCAAGACGATCCTGTACTTGGTCTTAACATGGCTGTTAGAATTCAAAGAGAAAGTCGACGAAGAGAATCTGTCAGCTTGATTTGTTCTTCGTCTTCCTGACCGGTTTTCACTTCGATTTCGTCCGGTATATCGTTGATGGGTTTGTAGTCCAGACGCGGATAATTGGCAGCGTTTACTTCATCGTCTTCCTTCTCTTCGGCTTCGGAGGTGGCGGTGGCTGCACTTGTGCTCTGGCTGAAAATTCCGTGGAGGTAATGGTTGGTAGAGTTGATTTCGGAGCTGTAATTGGGTGTTAATCGGTTGTTCCCTCACACCGGGGAGATATTTTCTATACGCAATACTATGGTGGCGGATGGGCCACGGTTGGACTATTTATTGCTCACCACGTTATGTTTGATGTGCTGTGATGGAATCGTCATACTGTAGCTAACTTGCATGGTGCCAACGAGAATGTAAGTCGGAAGGAAATCGTCTTTTCCAATGGGACTGTTGTTACGAGTACTGGATCAATCGAAGCTGATGCGATCGTTGCATTATAGGTGAAATACTAGATGTTTAGCAGAATAGCAGTTTAGAGCGCTTGTTTGATCAGCGATGATCCTTTCGGAGTAACGACTGAGACTAGTTGCTGAGGAGTAAGAACAACTGCTCAAAGCTGGTTAGAAGTGTAGGTTGTTATTGGTAGTAAGCAGGTACCGGCACAGTTTCTTCCATAATATTCAAGCTATTCAAAAGCCTCAGGGTACACTTGGGCTTACTTTGTTTACAAACAAAACTGACGTCTAATATGAGACGCATATTCTTAAAGGTAGTAAACGGAGTAAGCAGTGAAAAAAAATGATGAACGTCGATTAAATATTGAGGTACATTGAGTTACTCGCTGCAAAAAAGCAACACAGGGTAAACCTGTCTCCCCCTTGGTTTCGCTTCATCAAGATAAAGTGTTGGTTTTAAAAGATATAGTTCCACTAACCAGAATCGTTTGTCCGCGTTGAATTTCTTCACCTCCCGGGCATACTCTTTTTGCGAGAAAAATCCATTATGTCGATAGCTTGAGATTCAGTTGGCAATTGTCGTTTGATGATTCCGGTAGATGGTAGATAATTTTGCCTTGGATAGCCCCAGGGAAAAGTAACCATAAAGAGCATAGTAAACGCTATTAAGGCTCTGAACCATTAGGCGGATTTTTTTTAACTTTTGCTTGCCATTTGACAGATGGAAAGTTATTGATTAACCCTGCCATACGAGCGTGGTTATTTCTGACAGACAAGACGTTAAATTATGACAACCGTGGCTGAGTTCTGCACACAGTCTGTTGAATATCTGCCATTTCAGGAATCACCACACAAATTTCCACCATCCTGTCATAACACCAACTTATCAATACAACACATGCCTCCTGGGTGTTAGTGGGTGTGAAAATTGTACCCGTCAAACTAAAAATTTTCGCTTCCAAAAATTTGTGCAACGGTCAATAATTACAGGGAATATTCAAAGGGCAAGACAGCTCTTGCTCACGGCAGATTTTTGAGTTTATTTTGAGAAACTCTGAGTAACTCATGCCGAGGAGTAAACCGACAGAAACATCGATGAACGTCGATAAAATTTAGAGGTACATTGAGTTAATCGCTGCAAAAAAAAAACAACTCAGAGTTAAGCGGTCTTACCCCTGTGGGATATTTCAAATTTTAAATATTTTGTATGGACAATTTTCTGCGCAAGGAGAGGGGGCCTAAAAACCGTCTACGTAGTTAATGAACACCCCCTAACATTGAAATACCCAGAAAACGATACTGTTACAATTGCTAACCGAGATGCTAACCATTTATTGAGATTTGATTTTAAATGAGTTCTAT